TAAAGTCTGATCCCCAAAGGAGAGCCGGATAGGGTGGCTGCGGTGGGTGGAGACAGGACTTCCTGAGTGGATGGGAATTGCAGGTAGGATGCCTGGGCCCCTTTTGGGAAGGGCTGAGGGCTGGGTCCCAAGCTTGCAGTGGATGAGGGATTGGGGGAAACCTGGGATTTTTGTTGGGGGCGCGGGTGGGGCTGGGAGTTTAGCGATCCTGGGTCGCGGCTGAAGATTAAAGGTCAGAGAGCTGAAAGGTCAGAGAGCTGAATTTTCTAGGAGAAAATGTTAGGGGGATAGCGGGATCCCTTTGTCCCCGAGAAGGAACACAACGTGCCCAGACCTCTGGGTCCCCTAAGAGCTGGAGTTGGGAGGAGAGTATCTGAGGGAGCAAGAATTTGGTGACGTAATTCCTGGGTCCTCAGGGCAGGGGCCTACGAGAAATCTGGCTGAAGCTGAGATAGATTTCCAAAGGGGACGGGGGTTTCTTGGTCCCCAGGGGATGAAGCGGGAAGATGGGGTTCATGAATTCCAAGGCCCAGACCCGGCTGGTCCTCGCAGGGCTGGAGGGGCGTGATTTTCTCCGCAGCTTGGGCTACTTGTAGCATCAACACAGCCCCGGCTGTGCGCTGCGCGGCCACTCGGGGGCGCTTGTGGACCGGAGCGTCCCTCTATCCCCAAGGCATCCAGGCCACGCCCCGGCCAGGAGACCTAGCCAAGTTCTGATTACAAATGTGCGCCTATTTAGAGAATGCTCTAATGTTCTAATCAGAGAATAATCGTAATAGAGAACATTTATTAAACACTCCCTGTGGGGCCCTGTGTGTCAAGCTTTACGTTTTCTCTCTGAATTCTGGGAAATAGGGTGAAAATTCATTGGCCTGGCAGAAATTCAAAATTTTGACTATGTCAAGCGTTGATGAGGAGCTGATGCAAGCGTAAGTGGACAGATTTAGTTGGAGAGTAATTTAACAGCATCCATTAAAGACTTGGCAGGGCGAGTCCACTGCCAGCTACATCCTTCAGAGCTGTGATTTGTACACACTTTTGCTCACATTGGGACATTATACACCTGAAATAATTTCAGAGTAATCCTTACCCCGAGCATGTGCTCTAATATTTTCTGTTCCATTTAACATCGTTTCATTAAAGGGAAAATTGTGTTTGTAACCCACTAAATTGATTTCCCAACCCACTAATGCATCTTTTTGGGCAGGTTGAAAAATACTGCCCTAAGAAACTCCAAGAGGCATGTTCAGGGATGTTAATTGCAACCTTGTCGGAAGTGGAGAAAACTGGAAACAAGGCAATCGTCCATCAGCAGGAGGAGGGATGAATAATTCATTGTGGTCTACTCTCACAAAGGACTCCCACACAGCAGTTCCAATGAATGAACTGGACACACATACCAACAGCGTGAATCGTAAACACGTAATGATGAGTGTATTGTGTTGAATAGTGGCCCTCCCCCATTCATGTCCACTGGAACCTGTGAAGGTGGCCTTATTTAGAAATAGAGTTTTTGGAGTTAGCCAAGTTAAGGTGAGGTTGTACTGAATTAGGATGAGCCCTAAATCCAATATGACTGGAAATTTGGACACAGAAACAGGTATGCCCATAGGGAGAAAGCTATGTGATGATGGAAGCAGAGATGAGTGATGCATCTGTAAGCCAAGGAATGCCACAAATTGCTGGCAAACGCTGGAAGCTAGGAAGAGGCAAGGAAGGACCCTCCCCTAGAGCCTTCAAAGAGAGAAAGCCCTGCCAACATGTTGACTTGGGGCTCCCAGTCCCCAGAATTGTGAGAGAATAAATTTATTGGCTTAAGCCATTCAGTTTGTGGTCCTCTGTTAATGGCAGCAACAGGAAACTAACACAATGAGTTTTTTTTTTTTGAAACGCTGAAGGATTAGTACAACACAATGTTATTTATACAGAGTTAGAAAACCTGCAAAACAGGTGCTCTATATTATTTATTATATCACATTGTATGTCATAATCATATGAAACCATGAGTGGTAATGCAGGAATTCAGCACTGAATGCAGTACATGAAGAAGGGAAAAGATGGACTTTGAGGATACAGTGGGACTACAATGATATTGTTAATGCTTTAATTTAAAAAATTTGGATCATACTGGAATTTGACACAACATTCTAAAATAACTATAACTCAATAAAAATGTTTTAAAAAATAAAAAATCTGGATCAAATATTGCAAACTGATTAAGAATTCATATAATTGCGTAGTGGATACAAAAGAAATGGATGGTAAGAAAAGATACAGAAAAATCACTATCAGTTAGGGAAATGAAAATCAAAACCACAAGAAGATCTCACTTCACACCTGCCAGGAAGGCTACAAAGAAAAAAACAGACAATAATGAGTATTGGGGAGGCTGTGGAGAAGTTGGAACCCTCAGACACTGCTGTTGTGGGTGTAAAATGGTGCAGCTGCCTTGGATAAAAGTTTGGCATCTTCTCAAAATGTTGAAAATGTTAAACATAGAGTCACTGTATGACCCAGGAATTCCATGCCTATGTGTATATTTCACAGAGAATTCAAAACATATATCCCATGCAAAGATTTGTGGAAACAATTTAAATGTCCCTCAAATGAAAATAGATAAATGGGTAAATTAAATGCAGTATGCCCATACAACAGAATATTATTTGGCCATTAAAAGGAACACAGTACTAATACAGGCTACAGTGTGGATGAAACTCATAAACATTACACTAAGTCAAAGAAACCAATCACAAAGACCACATATTATATGATTCAGTATCTATAAAATGTCCAGAATAGGCAAATCTATAGAGACAGAAAATATATTAGTGGTTGCCTAGGGCTGAAGGAAGGGGGAAATAGGAAATGACTACTAATAGGTGTGGGGTTTCTTTTGGGGGTGTGTGTGAAGAAATGTTTTTAAATTGATTATGGTAATACCCAGATAGACATTTCTCCAAAGAAGACATCCAGATGGCCAACAAGCACATGAAAAGATCCTCAACATCACTAATTGTCAGAGAAATGCAAATCAAAGCTACCATGAGATATCACCTCACAGCAGTCAGAATGGCCATCATTAAAAAGTCCACAAACCATAAATGCTGGAGAGGGTGTGGAGAAAAAGGAACCCTTCTACATTGTTGATGGGAATGTAAATTGGGGCAGCCACTATAGAAAACAGTATGGAGATTCCTCAGAAAGCTAAAAATAGACTTATCATACGATCCAGCAATCCTACTCCTGGGCATATATCTGGAGGAAAATATAATTTGAAAGGACACATATACCTCAATGTTCATAGCAGCACTACTTACAATAGCCAAGACATGGAAGCAACCTAAATGTCCATTGACAGATGACTGGATAAAGAAGATGTGGTATATTTATACAATGGAATACTACTCAGCCATAAAAAAGAATAAAATAATGCCATTTGCAGCAACATGGATGGACCTGGAGATTGTCATTCCAAGTGAAGCAAGTCAGAAATCACAATATTGATTGTGGTGATGATTGCACAACTCTTTGAATTTACTGAAACCATTGATTTGTACTCTTCAGTTGAATTGTAGGCTATATATATTATATTTCAATAAAACTGTTTAAAAAAGTGGACGCCAGACCCCACAAGAGGGTGCTCTAAGCACAGACTTATCTCCTCCCTTAACATCTCAGGCTCCACCTGCCGACTCTGGCCACACCTCCGAGAATCTGGCCATGCCCCTAGGTTCTGACCACACCCCCAGGATATGGCCTGCCCCTCATCCAGGCCATGCCTCTGAAACTTTGGCCACACCCCCAACACTCTGGTCACACCCCTAGATCTTAACCACACCCTAAAACCCAGGTCACACCCCAAGGCAGAATCTGAAGCCACAAATTCACCCTCCTGATTTCCCAAACTCAGCACAGAGACACCCACAGACTTAGATACTCTTAGAAACACAGAGCCTGAAAACCATAGACCTTTAAACCATGACTTTTAATTTGCAAGCATTCTTTTCTTTCTTGAAATAATTTTAAACTTACGGAAAAGTTGCGAGAATAGGGCAAAGGCTTCTTGTATACCCTTCACTCAGGTTCCCCAATTGCTAACACTTTGTCAGTTTGCTTTATCATTTGCTCTCCTCCCTTCCCCGAACCATTTGGGAGTAAGTTTCAGACAGTATACCTCTTCTCCCCTAAACACTCAGGTGTGTATTTCCACATTTAAGGACATTCTTTTACACAGTCACAGAAAGGTTATCGAAAACAGGACGTTTAACAGTTATACAATACAAGCATCTAACGGTGCAGCCTATATTCAAGTTGCCATTTGTCCCCAAACTATCTTTTTTAGTAAACCACATTTCCCAGTCCAGGATCCAAGCCGAGATCACATGTTGCATTTAGTTTTGTTGTCTTTTTAGTCTCCTTCAGTCTGGGACAACTGCTCAGCCTTTTATGACATTGACATTTTTGAACACTGCAAGCCAGTTTTTAGTTCTTTTGTAAGATGTCTAGATTAGGGTTTGTCTAA